GAACACATAATATGAGGCTCCTAAACATGTTTCAAAGGCACAGAAAAATGAGGCAAATGGGTGTTCTATTCAGTTTTTGAGATTTTGTATAGATCTCCAATTTGGTTTCAATGAAAGTAAGCTTGAGAATTTGAAAAGTTCTTCATAATGGCCATTGATGCATACACTTAATTGAAGTATGAATTGCCTTTGGCCGGGTCTGTCCGTTTCCCTACACATTTACACTGGGAAGGTCCCTGGGTTTAAAACACAAAATCAGCTGGAGTTCCTACTGCAGAAGTGACCTCAGAACAGTTAGATAACTTGGACCCCATTTCTCAAGGTGATTTCTGGAGAATAAAGGAATAATTTCCAAGCAGCCTAAAGGGTCAAACAGCGCAAATAGCCAGCAGGGCTAACACCAGTCAGGTCTAAGGGATCAGTCTGGTTGTGAAGGAGCCAGGCTGAAGGCTGCTCAGCACAGGCTCATTAGATCAGCCCCTATTCCCAAGGAGTGGGAGGAAGGCTGGCCACTTCCAGCTGGAACAACCTGATTTCAAACTCAGACTGAGTGCCAAATAAGTACTTGCATACAGTACACGGTCTTACCTACGAAGGACCCACCTTACAATAGTTCTCAGACAAAGCCTGCAGAGCTTCTTACTGCACAGATGTAGAAGCTGGGATCCAGGAGAATGATTTAGACTCAAACTCCGGGGTAGTTGAGAAACACAGAGCGCAGCCATGGGCCCAGTGTGGGTCCCACACCTGTTTGCTCAGCAGCCTCACAGTCATACGGGGTGTTGTGTGATTACAAAGGGCCGTGAAAACGTTGACCTGACACAAAGAGATGGCCAGTTATTTCTCCAGCAAAAAGAAGTGTTGTAATCTGGGATCAACTATGATTTGTGTTCCGGGCCTGGAATCACAGTGAGCCACCTGCAGGGCCTAGCATACATGGGGATCAGAACTATTTTGCAGATGGGAATGGATGTTGGAGGAGGGGCTGTAGTGAACAAGGCACCCAGGGCTTCTCACTGGCTGAGCTGTGACCACCCCTCACTGCCTGAGTCCTTGCCAGGAGGCAACAGGGCATCTTTCTGCTTCTAACAGCTGGACTCTGCTCTCCTGGTAGGACATGAGAGCCCACTGTGCTGTCACCAAACTCTGTTTAACTGAGGTTTCTGTGTATTCAGAATTACTGTTATTTTTCCTGCTTTGTGAGATTGGATCATTTTTGTTTCAGAAGCCAGGATACCCTACTCAGGCAATGCTGGGTTTATGAGTTCAACTTCATGGTGAAATACAAGTGAATCATGTGGATGACAAAAAATAACTTCACATATTAGAGACACTCATTGGAAGGAAACTCCAGAGCAGATCTGGATTATGCAGGTTTTTGTATTTAAGCCTGGAGATGCAGCAGAGATCAGACTGTGGCTAAACCCAGAATGGAGAGAGCAATTGTGCTGTTCCCAGCATGTTCAGATGTTCTGAACAAGCAGCTACATGCAGATGAGACTGTGTTATCAAGACCCGTCCCCATAACTGAAGAATAGGGATAAGGAATGTGATAATTTTGTAATATAAAGAGGATATTGGAGCAAAGCAGAGTTCTGCTGATGGGACTAAAAACTGGAGCCCCGACTACAAAAAAGTGACACATTTTACAATTTTTAGCATCAACTCACCATGAAACCAACTATTCCATTACTACGTATCTGACTGGGTGAAATTAAAGCTCATGTTCACTGAAAGCACAGTGTGAAGGTGCTCGTGGGGCCTTCACACATGCTGTAAAGTGGAAACAAGGGCTAAACCCAGAGCTCAGTGCAGGGCCGTGTGCTGATGGCGTCTGAGGTACTGTTAAGCCCCACATTGCAGCCCTTGTCATGGGATCCAAGAAAACAGTCACTCAGTCATTACTGGACAATATGAGTCCTCCATGTTTCGTCAGATCCCAGCAGTTTCCTGTCCCAGGATAATGTCTTGTGTGTGTCAGAGACAGTACCTTGGACAGAGGAAGACTTGGATGTAGATATGATAGAAAAGTTGGGTCCCTGTATGTATGTGCATGTGCACCTGTGTGCATGTGTGTGTGTGCGTGTCCCTGCAAACAGACGGGAGCCCTGGTTACATGTGTGATGATAGCTTTCTGGACTTTCATCATCCTTCTGAATTTGGACGATATCAGCTAATTTTCTTTATCAAAATCACCCAATTCTATAAAGAAATATCTAATAAGATTATTTATTCAAATCAGTGTCTTCCCCAAAATCAGTGGAAACTCTATCCAGGATTCTGACATTAATTTTCTCAGAAGCGTGTGAACCTCGGTGCAGCTCAGCACATCTGAGGACGGTGCTGCAAAGTCATGTTGAAGCCATGGATTCTGAACCCACATCCCGAGTGCTCCTGGGCTCCTGACGGAACTTCCCTGTGGCTGAGGGCTCAGTGCCATTTTCATCAACCACCTCCCCACTGGTCAAGCTTTCCTACTTCTGGCAGCTAAGACCCTCGCCTGTATGGATGAGTCTAGACCAGAATCCTTCAGGTGCTGCAGGCCTGTGGTCAGAGGACAGCACAGCTGGGTGGGGAGTGGTTGTGGTGCAAGAAGCAGTTTGAAATGATGAGCCTGAATCGGGATGGGAATGACCCTCAGTCTTCACACTGGGCAGTTCACACTCTGAAGTTTAACACCTGGGATTTTGCAGTTCATCCAAGAGTTCCACTTGAAACTTCTCCCAGCTCTCATGCCAGCTAGAGACGTCAAACACAGGTAGGGTGAGGCTTGGTCACATTTCTCATATCACATAAACTTTCTATCCCACTATATGTAGATGTCAACGTGCAACACTGAGGTGAGATTTATAGCATATTGTGTAGTTTGTAACTTGCATAAAAATAAAATTACAAAGTATATAATAAGTATTCATTACAGCCCAATCACAAGTAAAGACATTTTCTTGAATGTTATTAGTGATAGAAATGCATTGAAATGCAGAGACTGTTGAAAACAATCCTCATGAACTCTGCTTACAGATTTATTGGTCAACACAGTAACTGTCAAAATCATCAATTCTCATCACCGAAGGGGGTCTAGGAAACCTGACCAATCTTGTCCAAAACTCTCTTGATGCTGACTCTGCATCACTTATGTCCAAGAGGAGGAGCACAGGTGAAACTGCTGGACAAACTGTCACCTAACATGTGCCCCTGCTCAGACTACATGCACTACCCGTCTGGGGGCTGCGTACATCACCAACGTGGGAGGAACTCTGGCACCAACATCACAGAATCGGTGTGCCATTGTAAAAAAAATTCATGTTCTAAGGGTTTACCCTGAAAATTCACACAATAAACATGATATTTCCAAATGCTACCAAAACCAGCAAACCACAGACACTCACAGCTGCTCAGGGGCCTGGCCCCCTCTGAGGCCAACAATGCACCGACTTTCTATATAGTGAGATGACATGCAAATAGGGCCTCCCTCTGAGGATATAGCCACCCGGCCCTGGCCCTGCAGCTCTGGGAGAGGAGCCCCAGTCCGGGATTCCAAGCTGCTCCCGTTCTCTGATCAGACTGAGCACAGACGATCCACCATGGAGCTGGGGCTGAGCTGGGTGATGCTGGCTGCTCTTCTACAAGGTAATTCATGGAGAACGAGAGATACTGAGGATGTGGGTGGCCGTGAGTGAGGGAATCAGAGGACGTGTGACAGTCTCCTGACCAGGGTGTCTTTGTGTTTGCAGGTGTCCAGGCTGAGGTGCAGCTGGTGGAGTCTGGGGGAGGCTTGGTGCAGCCTGGGGGGTCTCTGAGACTCTCCTGTGCAGCCTCTGGATTCACCTTCAGTAGCTCTGCCATGAGCTGGGTCCTACAGGCTCCAGGGAAGGGGCTGGAGTGGGTGTCCAGTATTTATAGTTACAGTAGTAACACATACTATGCAGACTCCGTGAAGGGTCGATTCACCATCTCCAGAGACAACGCCAAGAACACGCTGTATCTGCAAATGAACAGCCTGAAACCTGAGGACACGGTCGTGTATTACTGTGCAGCAGACACAGTGAGGGAAAGTCGGTGTGAGCCCAGACACAATCCTGCAGGGTCACAGGGGACCCTTAGAATTCCCGGGGGCACTCAGGACTCCCCAGTTGTGCCCTTCAGCCCCAGGGGCAGGTGCAGGAGGCAGCTGGTTTCACGGTTTCCTGTCAGGCTCTGGAGTTTCCTCTCCACAGAGCAGGAACCCCTCTGGATCCGGGAATCTGGGCTTGCACATTTAGTCTCACAATTAGAAAGTTTTTTTCTAAAAGGAAAAACAACGTTTAAAAAAAATCCTCTCCTGCACAAGAGGCAGAGTTTCTCTTGCATTTATGTACTCATGTTGGCCCCTGTCCAAATCGGGTCAACGTGGAGCACTGTAAAACCATCATGGTGGATTTACGGACAGTTAGACACACTCTACCCTCCCCTGTGAACTCTCAGCCCCACCCTACTGATGGGGGCACGTGTCCCTGCCAGGTGGGGGCTCCTTGCTGACGTCCTCCATGAGAAGCCCGGTGAGGCTGGCAGCCCCCCAGGACCACGAGCGGGTCACAGGGAACGAGGCCAGTGAGAGGGAATGGGTGGGGCCGTGGCCACGTGGGCTCCTCCTCCAGGTCCAGAGAATCCCTGCAGAACAGAGGCTCCTGCTCCCTGTTCCCTGTGCAGGTCACGTTGGGTCACGAGCTCATTGATCAATTATCACCGATGAACGCACAGATAATTGGGAGGGAGCTGTTACAGACAGGTGGGCACTGACG